AGGCACTAAAATATGAAATAAGCACAGTGACTTTCCTTTCAGAACACAAAGTTTCTTTCCTTTACAGCAGAGTCTACAGCCAGTCCAAGTACTTACACATGACCATGATTATCACTTTTTGAATACAGAAATTATTCCACTAAACATAGATTATGATTACCTAATAAACAGAAACATAATATACCAGTTTAATATATCAGATATTTAACATTTATTCTTTATATTTATAAGCATTAAGAGAATAATCTCATCTTCTATGATCTAAACATTGAATATTAACATTCAAAACTTACATACAATTACCCGAATAAAGGATATTTGAACTCTCAAAGGTAAAGAAACATGTTAGACAATCCAGGATCTTGGTTTTGAGAATTCATATAGCAAAGAACATTTTGTCTTCATTTTTTTCCTAATGTAAAAACCTCTTCAGGGTTTTAGAAGTAGAACTACAGAGAAAGTGATTCCAAAGTGATATGAGTATCACATATTAAAAGTAAAGTGCTGGATTTCATCCAGAAGCAAACTAGTAATTGTGTTAAAATGGGAATGCTGAAATCTCCCCCTGAGCTGCCTCTTGAAGTTGACCAGGTCATTCTAGTCACTGCCAAAAGCCCAAACTTGGCACTAGATCTTGAATCAGCACATGGGGTGGCCAGCTGGAAAACTGCCTGAGGATTTCCAATCATTCGAAAATCATCAACATAAATTTTCTCCCTAAAAAATAATGCTTTTTCTGGGGAAACCAAACCACGATTCTAGAGGCTGTTGACACATTTTAGGGATTTTATTGGCTGCACATCAAGGAATAGGCCTAAATTTAGGCTCACAGGACCAAACCTTACTCCCACGTAAAAAGAATGGAAATAAGAACAGCCTCATTTCCTAAGGAATGAGAAATCTACTTAAGATACTCCATCTTCCCTGAATCACAGTTTCCTCTAGCAGAATCTTCCACCAGTGACTTTTTTAAATTGATTTTTATTGAGTTCTACATTTTTCTCTGCTCCCCTTCCTGCCTCTCCCCTTGCCTTCACTCCTCCCCCAAGTTACCCATGTTCCCAATTTACTCAGGAGATCTTATCTTTTTCTACTTCCCATGTAGATTAGATTCATATATGTCTCTCTTAGTGTCCTCATTGTTGTCTAAATTCTCTGGGATTGTGATTTATGTGCTGGTTTTCTTTACTTTAGGTTTAAAATCCACTTATGAGTGAGTACTTTTGATACTTATCTTTCTTTGTCTGGGTTACCAGACTCAAAATGATATTTTCTATCTCTGTCTATTTTCCTGAAAAATTCAAGATGTTATTTTTTCTACTGTGCAGTACTCCATTGTGTAAATGTACCACATATTTCTTATCCATTCTTCCATCGAGGGGCATTTAGGTTGTTTCCAGGTTCTGGCTATCACAAACAATGCTGCTATGAGCATAGTTGAGCATGTGTCCATGTGGCACGATTGAGCATCCTTTGGATATATACCCAAAAGTGGTATTACTGGGTCTTGAGGAAGGTTGTTTCCTAATTTTCTGAGAAATCACCACACTGACATCCAAAGGGGCTGTACCAGCTTGCATTCCTACCGGCAATGCAGAATGTTTCCTTTATCCCTCATCCTCTCCAGCATAAGTTGTCATCAGTGTTTTTGATTCTGGCCATTCTTACAGGTGTAAGATGGAATCTGAGTTGTTTTGATTTGCATTTCTCTGATGACTAAGAATGTTGAATATTTCCATAAGTGTCTTTCCGCCATGTTAGATTCCTCTGTTGGGAGTTCTCTGTTGAGGTCTGTACTCCATTTTTTATTGGAATATTCGTTCTTTTGATTACCAATTTCTTGAGTTCTTTGTATATTTTGGAGATCAGATTTCTTTCTGATGTGAGGTTGGTGAAGACCTCTTCCCATTCTGTAAGCTGTCATTTTGTCTTGTTGACCATGTCCTTTGCTTTACAGAAGCTTTTCAGTTTCAGGAGGTCCCGTTTATTGTTTTTCTAAGTTGCTGTGCTACTGGGGTTATATTTAGGAAGTCTCTTGTGCCAATGTGTTCAAGTGTACTTCCCAATTTCTCTCCTATAAGTTTCAGTGTGGCTGGCTTTATGTTGAGGTCTTTGATCCATTTGGACTTGAGTTTTGTGCTTGGTGATAGATATGGATCTATTTTCATTCTTCTACATGTTGATATCCAGTTATTCTAGCACCATTTGTTAAATATTCTTTCTTTTTTCCATTTGATATTTTTTGCTTCTTTGTCAAAAATCAAGTGTTTGAAGGTGTGTGGATTAATATCCGGGTCATCGATTCAGTTCCATTGGTCCTCCTGTCTGTTCTTATGCCAATACCAGACTGTTTTCAATACTCAGCTCTGTAGTAGAGTTTGAAGTCAGGGATTGTGATGCCTCCAGAAGTTCTTTTATTGCACAGGATTGTTTTGGCTATCCTTGGCTTTTTCCTTTTCTATATGAAGTTGAGTATCTTTCTTTTGAGTTCTGTGAAGAATTTTGCTGGGCATTGCATTGAATCTGTAGATTGCTTTTGGTAAGATTACCATTTTTACTATGTTGATTCTACCTACCCAAGAGCATGGGATATTTTTCCACTTTCTGATGTCCTCTTCAATTTCTTTCTTCAATGATTAAAGTTCTTGTCATACAAGTCTTCCACTTGTTTGGTTAGAGTTACTCCGAGATATTTTATGCTATTTGTGGCTATTGTGAAGGGTGTTGTTTCTCTGATTTCTTTCCCAGACCTTTTATCATCTGTGTACAGGATTGCTACTGATTTTTTTGAGTTAATCTTGTATTCTGCTACATTACTGAAAGTGTTTATGAGTTATAGAAGTTCCTTGGTAGAATGTTTGGGGTTGCTTATGTAAACTATCATATCATCAGCAAACAGTGAGTTTCGCTTCTTCTTCTTTTTTGATTTTTATCCCCTTGTGACTTTTAAAGGAGCTTTCAGTAGAAAACAGAAATAACATTAATACACTCTACAAGGGAGGAAAAGTGAGAGAATGACTAGTTGAGCCTAAGAGAGTAGCCATTTACTCTGCTATAAATAGATCACTTGGCCAAAATAATTTCATGTTACCTTACCAAATCTCACCAATCAACAGGATCTTAGAGGATTGCTGATAAAGACAAGCTTCTGCCCATTCAACTTCTGCTCATGTTCTCTCTCTCAAAATTAAGATACAATGACTAGATAGAGCACAATATTTCTGGGCATTTTGATGGACTTTATGTCAGAAATTTTTGTTTTTCACTTTAGCTGTCCTATTATTTCCAATCTTAAGAACCATTTTCACACATAGATAAAAAATATCTAAAGATTTCCAATGCTTCCTTACAACTGAAAAGTAGCCTGGGTGCTCACGAGCAAGATGAAGAGCAGTCATTTCATGCTTGTTCACACACCAGCACTCTCTCACAAACTATGTTTTAGAGGAATTCTCTTTAACATTCATATATTTAATTAACATAATGTGCAAATTTCTCCCATGAAGAAAATAACAAAGAGTGTCAACATGATATTTATTTCAAAATATGACATCTCTATATTAAAAGATATTTAGAAAGCTATGAAAATAAACATAGTTAACAAGTACTGCTTCATAATAAAATATTTTCCTATAAGTCATAAAATCTTATTCTTCTATCAGTTTTCTTACTTACAGAAAAGAATTATTGGTCTTAATTTATGATAAAAAAAAAGGTCAAGTGGATAAATCATTAGTAATGATGGTTGAACAACATGAATGGAGTGCATTACCCATGACCAACTTAAGAATAGAGAAGAAAAAGCAAAGTAGCCATGCTCAATCAGAGACTGGGAGAGTAGTCAGAAGGGGCAAGTCACAACATACAGATCTGTAGCTAATTTTAAATGTAACTTTTATTATAAAGATTCTGCTCCATTCATCATATCCAGAAATAAGAGCCTAGATATCTATCAATTTATGAATAGGTGGTACAATTATACAAGAGAATATTACTTACTTATTAAGAAAATTAAATTATAAAATTTGAAGATAAATGTATGCAGCTAGAAAACATCATCCTGAGTGAGGTAATTCACACAGAAACAAATATTATATTATCTTTTTGTATGTGCATGTTAGGTTTTAAGTTTTTTATATGTGTACTTTTCTATATGTGTGCTAAAATCCAAATAGCCACAGAGGTTAGATATATAATAAGGGACCAGTGTGGTGGATTTTCCAAGCAAAGGAAAATAGAATAAAATGTTAAGAGAATAATGGGAAAACAAGAAGAAGAAGAAGAAGAAGAAGAAGAAGAAGAAGAAGAAGAAGAAGAAGGAGGAGGAGGAGGAGGAGGAGGAGAAGAAGAAGGAGAAGAAGAAGAAGAAGAAGAAGAAGAAGAAGAAGAAGAAGAAGAAGAAGAAGAAGAAGAAGATTAAATACTGAGAAGTATGAAAAGGGGAGAATATATGTTAGGACAACTAATGGTAAAGGTCATTTGAAAAACCATATGGAAAACTAGTACTGTAAAAGCTTACTAAAACAGATGCATCTATGGAAGGAATCTAAATAAAGTCAATAAATAGTAGGGGAAACAATGCTCCATTAGATGACTTATACCACTAAGTAAAAACTCTAGTGACACGAATGGGTTATATCTAGTTAAGTAAAACCCAAAGAGCTTTCATGGAATCCTTCAAACATCATAGGATATTGCCAACATTGATGGTTGCTCTCCATAATCTGATAGCATGGCTCTGTTACTGAAGAAACACTCACTTGTGTCAAATATATAGACCTGTGTTGTCTGCACCACCTGAAACTGTGGTTGGGCAAGGGTCTGGGGGCTAAAGAACACACAGAGACAAGGGTCACTCTTGAAGCAAGAATGACAATTTTATTGTGTTCCAGGGCAGCTTATAAAGTGCTCTTCTTGATTAGTGGCCATGACTTAGCTCTCAGGATTTTCTACTGCAAGTCTACCAGAAACCACTTTCTTGTTATCAGGAACTCATGAGGGCTTCATGCTCAGAGCATCTGCAAGCAAATGAAAGCAAATTGTTTACTCTGGCAGGCAAGGGGTAATAGAAAGTTCAGAGTCTGAGGGTCTTCAGCCCCTAACATACAGCTGTTGCCTAAATAGAAGATTCACTCCTCCTAACTAGTATTTATAGTACTGGAATATACTCTAAATACTACAAGGTGAAATGTATTCATAAGCAACACCTACAATAGTGTCATGCCTATAACATATACTGGTGTAATTCTGGCAGAAATGTTAGGAAACCAACTAGTCACTTTTTGGTTGTATTTGGGGTTCACCATGAGATGGAACCCATAGACAATACTCAAAAGAGGCAATAACCTGAGAGTAGATATGGCATAGACCTAGGGGAAAACCTACTATTCTTTTTCTCTTAAAAGAACATAGCAGTCAAGGGGATTCGAATTGGAAAGGAAGAAGTGAAACTTTCGTTATTTGCAGATGATATGATAGTGTACATAAGCGACCCCCAAAACTCCACCAAAGAACTCCTAAAGCTGATAAATAGCTTTAGTAATGTGGCAGGATACAAGATCAACTCCAAAAAATCAGTTGCCCTCTTATACACAAAGGATATGGAAGCAGAGAGGGAAATCAGAGAAGCTTCACCTTTCACGATAGCCACAAACAGCATAAAATATCTTGGGGTAACTCTAACCAAGGAAGTGAAAGATCTATTTTACAAGAACTTTAAGGCATTGAAGAAAGAAACTGAGGAGTATACCAGAAAATGGAAGGACCTCCCTTGCTCTTGGATTGGGAGGATCAACATAGTAAAAATGGCAATTCTACCAAGGGCAATTTATAGATTCAATGCAATCCCCATCAAGGTCCCATCAAATTTCTTCACAGATCTTGAGAGGACAATAATCAACTTTATATGGAAAAACAAAAAACCCAGGATAGCGAAAACAATCCTATACAATAAAGGATTGGCTGGAGGCATTACCATCCCTGACTTCAAACTCTATTACAGAGCTACAGTGATGAAAACAGTGTGGTACTGGCATAAAAACAGAGAAGTCGACCACTGGAATCGTATAGAAGACCCAAATTTTAACCCACAAACCTATGAACACCTCACTTTTGATAAAGGAGCCAAAAGTATACAATGGAAGAAAGAAAGCATCTTCAACAAATGGTGCTGGCATAACTGGATATCAACCTGTAGAAGAATGAAAATAGACCCATATCTATCACCATGCACAAAACTCAAGTCCAAATGGATTAAAGGCCTCAATATCAGCCAGAACACATTGAACCTGATAGAAGAGAAAGTGGGAAGTACCCTACAGCTGATGGGCACAGGAGATCGCTTCCTATGTGTAACCCCAACAGCACAGACATTAAAGGCACCATTGAAAAAATGGTACCTACTAAAATGAGAAGCTTCTGCAAAGCAAAGGACACTGTCACCAAGACAAAAGGCAACCTACAGACTGGGAGAAGATCTTCACCAACCCCACAACAGACTAAGGTCTGATCTCCAAAATATATAGAGAACTCAGGAAACTAGACTTTAAAATGCTAATTAACCCAATTAAAAAAATGGGGCACTGATCTGAACAGAGAATTCTCAGCAGAGGAAGTTCAAATGGGCAAAAGACACTTAAGGTCATGCTCAACCTCCTTAGCAATCAGGGAAATGCAAATCAAAACAACTTTGAGATATCATCTTACACCTGTCAGAATGGCTAAAATAAAAAAACTCCAATGATAGCCTTTGCTGGAGAGGCTGTGGAGGAAGGGGTACCCTCATCCATTGCTGGTGGGAATGCAATCTTGTGCAACCACTTTGGAAATCGGTGTTTCGGTTTCTCAGGAAATTTGGGATCAACCTACCCCTGGACCCAGCAATACCACTCCTGGGAATATACCCAAGAGATGCCCTATCCTATGACAAGAGCATTTGTTCAACTATGTTCATAGCAGTATTATTTGTAATAGCCAGAACCTGGAAACAACTTAGATGCCCTTCAATGGAAGAATGGATGAAGAAAGTGTGGAATATCTACACATTAGAGTACTACTCAGCAGTAAAAAACAATGACTTCTCAAATTTTGCATGCAAATGGATGGAAATAGAAAACACTATCCTGAGTGAGGTAACCCAGAACCAAAAAGATGAATATGGGATGTACTCACTCATAATTGGTTTCTAGCCATAAACAAGGGTCACTGAGTCTACAATAGGTGATCCCAAAGAAGCTAAGAACGAAGGTGAATCAAAGGAAAAACATATAGTTGTCCTCTTGGCTATGGGAAGTAGACAAAATTGCCGGTGAGAAAATTGAGATCTTGGGGGTGGGGTGGGATGGGGGTAAGGGGAGATGGGGAGAGAAAAGGGAGAAGGGGAGAATGGGGGGAACTTGGGGAAAAAGGAGGATTGGGATAAAGGAAGGTTGGATAGGGGAGCACGGAAGCACAATTCTTAGTTAAGGGAGCCAACTTAGGGTTGGCAAGAGACTTGAACCTAGAGTGGCTCCCAGGTGCCCAAGCCGAGGTCCCCAGTTTGTTCCTTGGGCAGCCGAGGATAGGGAACCTGAAATGACCCTATCCTATAGCAATACTGACGAATATCTTGCATATCACCATAGAACCTTCATCTGGTGATGGATGGAGATAGAGACAGAGACCCACACTGGAGCACTGGACTGAGCTCCCAAGGTCCCAATGAGGAGCAGAAGGAGGGAGAACATGAGCAAAGAAGGCGGGACCACGACGGGTGCACCCACCCACTGAGACAGTGGAGCTGATCTATTGGGAGCTCACCAAGGCCAGCTGGACTGTGACTGAAAAAGTATGGGATAAAACTGGACTCTCTGAGCATGGCGAACAATGAGGGCTGATGAGAAGCCAAGGACAATGGCACGGGGTTTTGAACCTAGGTAATGTGCTGGCTTTGTGGGAGCCTAGCCAGTTTGGATGTTCACCTTCCTAGAAATGGACGGTGGGGGGAGGACCTAGGACTTACCACAGGGCAGGGAACCCTGACTGCTCTTTGGACTGGAGAGGGAGGGGGGAGGTGTGGGGGGAGGGGTGAAGGGTGGGAGGAGAGGGAGAAGGGTGGGAGGAGGGGAGCGAAATGCGAGGCTGGTAGTAAAATACTAAGAATAACAGATATATTGCCGGGCGGTGGTGGTGCACACCTTTAATCCCAGCACTTGGGAGGCAGAGGCAGGCGGATCACTGTGAGTTCGAGACCAGCCTGGTCTACAAGAGCTAGTTCCAGGACAGGCTCCAAAACCACAGGGAAACCCTGTCTCGAAAAACAAAAATAAATAAATAAATAAACAAAGAATAACAGATATAATAAAACTATGTAATAGTTTCTGACTACAAAAAAAAAGAACATAGCAGTAAAATGACTTTTAATGACCGACTACTTAACCTGAAAATACATGCCTTGTTCAACCATCATTTAAAAAGGTTGTTCTTACAGATGATGGGAACTAGCACAGAGACCGACAACTGAATAATGTGAAGATCATGAGAGACTTTGCACTTGCTCCTAAATGTTACTTCTCTCCATCAAAGGTTCTGGGGCCTAGGCGGAAGAGGAGGCAGAATGACTGTTACTACAAGAGGTGATGGATGACTCCAATGTAAGGGTGTCTTTAAGACATAACAAGGAGCTAAAAGTATACAATGGAAGAAAGAAAGCATCTTCAACAAATGCTGCTGGCACAACTGGATGTCAACCTGTAGAAGAATGAAAATAGACCCATATCTATCACCATGCACAAAACTCAAGTCCAAATGGATCAAAGACCTCAATATCAATCTGAACACACTGAACCTGATAGGAGAGAAAGTGGGAAGTACCCTACAACATATGGGCACAGGAGATCACTTCCTATGTATAATCCCAGCAGCACAGACATTAAGGGCAACATTGAATAAATGAAACCTACTGAAACTGAGAAGCTTCTGTAAAGCAAAGGACACTGTCACTAATACAAAAAAGCAACCTACTGACTGGGAGAAGATCTTCACCAACCCCTCAACAAACAAAGGTCTGATCTCCAAAATATATAAAGAACTCAAGAAACTAGACTTTAAAATGCTAATTAACCCAATTAAAAAATGGGGCACTGAACTCAACAGAGAATTCTCAATAGAAGTTCAAATGGGCAAAAGACACTTAAGGTCATGCTCAACCTCCTTAGCAATCAGGGAAATGCAAATCAAAACAACTTTGAGATATCATCTTACACCTGTCAGAATGGCTAAAATAAAAAACACCAATGATAGCCTTTGCTGGAGAGGCTGTGGAGGAAGGGGTACCCTCATCCATTGCTGGTGGGAATGCAAACTTGTGCAACCACTTTGGAAAGCAGTGTGGGGGTTTCTCAGGAAATTTGGGATCAACCTACCCCAAGATCCAGCAATACCACTCTTGGGAATATACCCAAGAGATGCCCTATCGTATTACAAAAGCATTTGTTCAACTATGTTCATAGCAGCATTATTTGTTATAGCCAGAGCCTGGAAACACCCTAGATGTCCTTCAATGGAAGAATGGATGAAGAAAGTGTGGAATATCTACACATTAGAGTACTACTCAGTAGTAAAAAACAATGACATCTTGAATTTTGCATGCAAATGGATGGAAATAGAAAACACTATCCTGAGTGTGGTAACCCAGACCCAAAAAGTTGAACCGGATGTACTCACTCATATTTGGTTTCTAGCCATAAATAACGGACATTGAGTCTATAATTTGTGATCCTAAAGAAGCTAAATAAGAAGGTGATCCCAAAGAAAAACATATTGTTATCCTTCTGGATATGGGAAGTAGACAAGATTGCCATGCCAAAAAAGTTGGGATCTTGGGGGTGGGATGGGGGTGGAGGTAATTGGCGATGGGGGTAATGGGCGATGGGGAGAGAAAGTGAGAAGGGGAGGATGAGTGGAACTTGGGGAAATGGGATGGTTGGGATAAAGGAAGGGTGAATATGGGAGCAGGGAAGTATATATCTTAATCAAAGGA